GTGTAGTGTAGTGTAGTGTAGTGTAGTGTAGTGTAGTGTAGTGTAGTGTAGTGTAGTGTAGTGTAGTGTAGTGTAGTGTAGTGTAGTGTAGTGTAGTGTAGTGTAGTGTATGTGGAACATGTATGTTAGGGGTTAGAAAGTAGATACGTTTAGCGAGTTTTTACTCAAAATTCAAGATGGCCGACTTAAATCAGAAATGCGCCAGAATTATCAAATTCTTCGCGCTACAACGTTCTGATATTCTGAACTTAGTCACAAAAATGGAATGGTTTACACCTCCAATAGCTAACATAATTCTATCACGTACGCATTTCGTGTACTGAATGACAGTTCAGTAAGGTATAATTATGATATGTTGGTAAAGCTATATTGTAATCTTTCAATAAACCATTTTCACACAATCTGTTGCAAACGGCCGTTATTTCTTTGCTATATACCTGGGTTTGTAAGCCAAAAGTTTGATTTTGTTCTCCGATGTGCGAATCTGTCTTAAGCCGGTTTTCCACTAGGCGGAATTTTGCGCGCGAAGCAGAATCTTTCTTTGTCTTTTAAAAAGCTTTGCTTTTCACAAAAAAAAAATAATTCCGGTCCGCGCGCAAATGGTCCAAATGGAAAACCGGTTTAAAGGTTCTATCGAATACACGTATGGAAACTTAGGAATTTACTGCATCACTGAGTGCATCACACCATGCAGCCAAAGAAATGGGTGGGGGCACTTTTTATGGCCACTTCTTGTAGATTTTAATTTTTTCGTTCAAACCGCAAACCGCTGGAAACCATGCACGTGATTACTGTATGTCTAGCGTTCCCGTATATATTTTGCACGTTTTCAGCGGAAGGAATGATTTTTCCCGTTTGTCCTTTCCTTCAAATTTGATTCTATAGTTTCGCTTCAGTTATATGTGAGTAGAGTGTGTCCAATTTGTCTTGCTAAGTAACACTGGATAAACACAGTACTGGACCTTTATATATATAGGAATAGCTGTTTAAACATAATTAGTGTCAAGTCAAAAATAAAAAGTTTAGTTTAATTTCCTCCTATAGTAACACTGAGCAAAGGCTGAAACTCAAGGAAGAGCAGTTTAGACAGAACTGGTGAGGTTTTCGAGTACAAGTATGGGTAATCATGCGATTGCAATTAAGTACAATTAAAGATTAACAGAACGAGTGATGTTCAATGAAATATTTTGCCACAGTTGCACGAGCCGCCGTACTGGGAGAGCATTATAGAAACGATAGAGCTTTCCAGTATTAATAAAATTAAGTGGGTTCATAATTTAGCACTTTAGTTCCCTCCTGTACGAATGCTGGAACAATAAACACCGCGGAAAAACGTCTGCGCATGCGTCAACCTTACCTGTAATAGTATTGCGAACTTAATGAGACTGTTCCGAACGTTTCCGAAGGCTCAAAATGGTGGTAAAAAGGAGTGACTTCATTGTGTGTCTTTTCAGCCAGATTTCGAGCGCAAAAATAAACATGTCATTCTAAAAACTAGGAATAAATACAGCCAGAAGGTACAAGAAATTGTATTGTACAAGAACATGAACTAAAGGTAATTGTTGACAAATTTATCGTCTGAAACATTTTGTTTATCAACTAAGCAACGACAATTTCCAAATTTTCGTTTGAGATACATTTCTTTAAAAAAAACTGTGTCGCCAAATATAAAAAAATTTCGTGTTCACAATAATTAAACTTTAGGATTTATTCTACAATTTGAGTGGGTTAAGGAGCTTAACTTTTCGAGAGTTTTCTTAACTTTTGAGTTTGAATTTTTGTTTTAAATAATTTTGCAAAAATTTTCGAAGTCGTGTTCGCTAAAATCAACAATTTTTTACATGAATTATATTTTATTCCATACTTTAAATGCCAGAACGCTTTCAATTAATGTCTAGTCTACCCATTTGCTATATTTTCTAGTTTGTTTTACTAATTTTTGACCAATTAATAAGCATGTTTTTGTTTTAGAAATTGATATTCAAATTCCCCGCCATATTTTCATAATTTGGTGCATGCGCAGACGTTTTTCCGCGGTGTTGGAACAATAAGGATTCACCCTTAATTTTCATTCTGTCCGGACTTCTAAAAAGATTAGTTTAATAGAACTGATGATCTGCCAAGTTAACACCAAGTTAGTGTAAAGGGAAACAGCAATGAATTAGTTTTACTTTTGAAAGAACCTGAAGATTCTCTACAATTCTTCACGTGTATCTTTCTTGGTTTTCATGTTTGACCAAAAATAGCTTGTAGTTCGCCATAGTTGGTTTTATATTTAACGTATAATTAACCAGAGGTTAAACTTGTCAAAGTTATTATGTAGGTGAGTGCATTTCAAGGGGAATGTTTGTATATGTTGTCAGTCAATTGAAAAATGGAAAACCCTGAAAAATCAAATTTTAGGTCACAAGTGATTTTGCACAATTAAAATTCTCTCTATCCATGCTGTGACGTCTGCATATTTAACCAAGAACGAAGGTGGTGAATATATTGTATTCTGTTTTTAGTCGAAGTATTTCGAAAATCAAACACACGCTACGGAAAAGTTGTGTAGTCTTCATATATCATTTTGAAAGTTCTTTCAAATAAGACAAACTTAGTTATATGTCACAACCCAATTGTGTTCAATACATGATTTATTTATGCTTATTTTTACAGTTACTGGAGCCAAACAGACGGACACAAGATGCCCTGAATGTGTCACCGAACATTTCACCAAAGCGAAGTTTGAGTGTCAGGCGATCTTTGAGAATGGCACGACCGAAATCAACTGATTGTGAGCGAAATTTAGTTGAATAGTTAGGTAAATATAGAAAGCATGATAATTCTTTCAACAGGCTCTATGCAAGGTTTCACTAAGCACTGTCAAGCAGCAGAGGTTTAGTTTTATTTTCTAGCTTCATCATCTCTGAAGTTGACTACCATCTGCTGTCTTGTAAAATTTACTGAAAGCAATATTGTCACAGTATAGGGAGACAACCAGTAGGGCCACTTAGGGGAGAGAAAAGTGGGAATTATTTAAGCTAGGTCCCAGGTGTTTTACGCGGCCAAACTCATTACTCTGTAATACAATTTTATAGTGAACTGCTGCCATTTACTGGCTGCCAATATGTAAATTAGGTTGGCAGCCAGTAAACAATGTGGACACTTTTTTACACTGAGTGGCCCTACTGTAGTTTTCATATACTGTGATATTGTTTACATTCTAGTATACTAAATTGTATATTCATTAATATACAATTTAGTATATTAATGAATGACAAAATGTCACTAAAATCATATGGACAGTCCAGAAGACAACATCAGGAAATAATGGATGATCCTAGGATCTAGAATTCCAGAGAATTTTCAGACCTGGTTTATATAGCTGGCAGAAAATTTTAGGGCATTGCATAATGCTAACAGGCACAGAAAATAATTTATTAGAAAGAACATTAGTGAGCTCGGCATGCAGAACGTTTGCCCCTAAAACCTAGGATCCCAGAAACAAAAACATTTCCTGCTATGGAAGACAGACAGGGGGGACTGGAAACGCTATAGTTTTATACGTGGTATCCGTGACATGCCTGGTTGTTCAAGCTAAAATACAGTGGCGTTACCCATTTCCAGCCGACAATTTGAAATATATACGAAATAAAGCAGATTCCGAATATGTGCATCTTGAAAATCCAAAATATGGATCGAAGTCGGAGTCATCGTTGGTAATTATACTGATAGGATACTATAATAAACTATATCTACGTTTTGTGTATATCAGTTGATCTACAGAAGGCTTTAAAACCCCCGAAATGATGCATATCTTTTCATGATTTTCAAGATGCGTACATGTAAATTCGAAATTTGTTTTGATTTGTACAGTCACATTAATTTGCCTACTAATATATGATCATTTGTATATATTATACATGACGGTGTGGGGGGGGGGGCGACAGAGGCAACTGACCTCAGAGAAAATTCAGTAAAGTACGTCGTCACCTTCGCTATATTTAGGACATCGTTTTCGCGAATGAAATGTTGGGCTTTAACTAAGGTCTCATATACGCGAAGACGAGGCTGTATAGGCAATGTGATGTACTTTCCGAAGGGTGTATTTAGGATTACTCACATGCCTACTTGCCTATTGTTTTAAAAATCGTAGAATACAAGAAACGTAGCTATAAGCATGCTAATTTTGTACTCTTCCACTTTACGGAACATACAGGGTGTATAAAAAAAACTGAACCCTTTCAAATTCAAATTAGCTATAACGTATTGTAGTAATTTGACAGCTCTAATTGCTTTGAATTAATGGTTGGGTAAGAACACAAGGTCTTGTACTCATGGGACAAAACTCTTAAAAACTTTTAAATTTTCTAATTTTTATTTCTTTGAGTTTCGTCCCATGAGTACAAGACCTTGTGTTCTTACCCCACCATTAATTCAAAGCAATTAGAGCTGTCAAATTACTACAATACGTTATAGCTAATTTGAATTTGAAAGGGTTCAGTTTTTTTATACACCCTGTACTGTACAGGGTGTCCCAAAAAACCCGGAAACTATTGAAATCACTTATTGTTAAATTTGAATGCCCTACCAAACAGCTGGACGTAATGATGCGTAAAATATTGACAAGGTGCATGTATTAGAATTTAGTTAGGAATATCTCCTGATAAAGTGCGCGATTTTCTGCTCCTGGGAATTAAAAACAACTTCTTAAACAGTTTCTTTATGCATAAAATTTACTTATGTCAATCATTTATGCACTCGTGGGAACCAACAGAGCGCTAAGGCATTCAAATTCTAACAATTAAATTGTTATTGGTGATTTCAATGGTTTTCGTTTTTTTTGGGACACCCTGTAGAATACAGGGTGTCCCAAAAAACCCGAAAACTATTGAAATCACTTATTGTTAAATTTGAATGCCCTACCAAACAGCTGGACGTAATGATGCGTAAAATATTGACAAGGTGCATGTATTAGAATTTAGTTAGGAATATCTCCTGATAAAGTGCGCGATTTTCTGCTCCTGGGAATTAAAAACAACTTCTTAAACAGTTTCTTTATGCATAAAATTTACTTATGTCAATCATTTATGCACTCGTGGGAACCAACAGAGCGCTAAGGCATTCAAATTCTAACAATTAAATTGTTATTGGTGATTTCAATGGTTTTCGTTTTTTTTGGGACACCCTGTAGAATACAGGGTGTCCCAAAAAACCCGAAAACTATTGAAATCACTTATTGTTAAATTTGAATGCCCTACCAAACAGCTGGACGTAATGATGCGTAAAATATTGACAAAGCGCATGTATTAGAATTTAGTTAGGAATATCTCCTGGCAAAGTGCGCGATTTTCTGCTCCTGGGAATTAAAAACAGCTTCTTAAACAGTTTCCTTTATGCATAAAATTTACTTATGTCAATCATTTATGCACTCGTGGGAACCAACAGAGTGCTAAGGCATTCAAATTCTAACAATCAAATTGTTATTGGTGATTTCAATAGTTTTCGGTTTTTTTGGGACACCCTGTAGAATTAAGAAAGGTAATTTTGCATTACAATTATCTACATGAGTAAGTATTTCATAACTGATTGTTTACTGTTCCGAAGTAACCATGCATGCAGGCATGTGAGTTATCGAATGCTAAGTTACTTGGCCTATATTTTATGCTTTGTTAAACTGAAACAATAGTATACTAGTCATGTCAGTTATGAAATGTAAGTAACCTTTGTTCTTTTTTATTATATATATGCAGGGCATTTTTTAACTATATATAACTACTGGGGCATTTATCCCTGTAAGCTCTTTGCTTGGCCCTGCATGTGTAGTAAAGCAACATTTTCAAATGAACTGTGCGTTTTTTATCACTAGTAAAAAGGCTGAACCTCGTGGAAGAGGTACGATTATTTCCTCACAAAAGACGATGGAGTATTTTCTCGCGTACACTTGACTGTGTGGGGAAAAGGCCTTCATTAAGATTTCTCAGTAGTTGTAATTTCTTTAAAAATGCCCTGATCCTATGCTTTCGTCAACTGGAACAATAGTAACTAGTCATGTATGTTATCTAAAGTTATGAACTGGTTGTCATCGTTGTTAAACAAGCGCTATATATTCTTCCTATATTCTTGAGAAAAATACCCATGACTGAAAAATATTTACTTTTAGTTCGCACTTAGCATTCGATATTTTATTTTTATAAAATGTTAAATAATGAAGATGTTTAAAATAAATTCACATATTTTAGTTTTCCAAAATGAAGATTTTAATTAAGTTCAATGAATCGCATCGTATGTTAATAACCATCAGCCTGTGAAGCGGAGCTAGGTTGCGGCCTGGCCAACTTTTAAGGTCTTAAAATAATTGCCGTCGCTTAAAAAAATTATCGAGTTGCATGGTTGGATCTTCTTGTTGGATTATGAAATATTAATGGTTCCCATAAATCCCTCATGTGTGCATGCGAGATCAGGGTGCGAATTGAACGCCTGATTTCGTGAGCGCTTTTTCCTCACGAAATTCGAAAACAATTTGCGCGAAATGAATTATGGCATACGCAGTAAAAATATATTAGGTTTGGCGAGAAATTAATCCACGTGGAATCATCCATATGTCGCAGAAACAATTTCTTGCGAAGAATTTCGCCGTCGTGGAACCAGGTCGGGGGAGCTTCACCTCCTGGGGAACATTACTCTTAGGTCATAAAACTGAAATTTTAACTGTCGATTTCTCAAAACCTGATTTTTGGACCTATGTGAACTACCCCCCTAACATTTCTCGTTACCGTTTTCATGGAAATGAACCGTTTTTTTTGGAACAGGTCTAGCCTTGGGCATGTAGCATACACCTATAAGCCATTTTTCTATAACTGTTTGCAATCTGTTTTTGGCAATTGCTATACCACAACATCTTGGCTATTATATGGTGCATTTTCACCAAGATGCATTACATATAGTATGTGAGATTTTGTGTAAAATCTTGTAAAATCAATCGTATACGATTCTACTGTGTCACATTACAGTCCGATGTTCCGAGCTGGAAAAAATTCTCAGCATATCAAGCTGGAGTTCTGCAGATTCTAAAAATATTTATGTTCGGCATATTGGGGCGCTTTCCATTTAATGGCCTGACCGGTCAGATCCGAATTTTTGTCTCTGTATCAGTAGAAAGATCTGGTCCATATTTCTCAAATATCTAGCGAAAATGGACTTCATTCTAATTTTATCAAAATTTTCCGGTCAGATAGGTCCGAAGCCCAAACGTTTTGTGTTTCATTAAAAAATTTGACCCTTCTGACCGGTCTGGCCGTGTTAATGGAAAGCGCCCTTGGATTTAAAAACATGCTAAATAGTGTTGGTCCAACTAGGGGGAACAATTAGCGGTCCACAATTTCATGGAAAAATTTATGGACCAACTTTTTAGTCAGTCCTAAACATTCGGAATCCCTCATGTAGATAAATTTCTTCCAAAATAACTTTCATTGCACAACAAAACCAAAATTGGATAAAAAAGAATATTACGGACATTTTTTGTGGGTCAACATTTAAATTTGCAAGTTTTAAAAAACTGCCATGGCCTACAATATATGAAAATAAGTGTAGGCCATGGAAAATTCTTAATTCGCACGTAGGACATGCTAATATATATGCATGTATGCAGGTTCTGCAATAAGCATACAAAGGGCAAAAAATAGACTTGATCGTTTTATATTTTAATTTGTTTTCTTTGAAACAATAAGCTTAATAATAATATATTAAGATTTCTATTTTACATATATACTATGTACGTACAGTATTTTTACAGTGAAGACTGTAACTAGGTTACTCTGAATAATGCACACACAATGGGTCTAGTGGTATAATGACGCGATTTATGCTGTTGACGGACCGATGGTTCGTCTGGACAACTTGATGGTATGAAAGAAAAGACAGCTCGTTGGATAACTGGTCTAACTGATCATTGGTGACGACGAATCTCTGTGGAACATTGAAGGTGTATCACTCAAAAAAAGTGCACGAGATTTTTGGAATTTCGGAAATCTCTTGGAATTTTTCCAGCGTTTTTTCAATGTTTTTTGTAATACCTTTACGCTACAGGCAGGAATGTTTCTCTTTGATCTAACGCTCTAACCCTTAAGGCCTGAATCACACGACGGTGAAATTCTTCGCGAGAAATTGTGTCTGCGAAATACGGATGGTTGCACATGAGCGATTCTATTGAATTTTCCCACTTTTTCCGCTTTCGCAGTGAGTAGAACTGACTTCAACTCACTGGTGAAGCGAAATTTTTTGGCGCAAAGCCTAATTTTACTGTGCATTCACCTAATTCATTTCGCGCGAATTTTCCGCATTCCGCCGAAGAAAACGCCCGTGGAATCAGGCCTTAACGCTCGTGATATAACGATATAGCTTTGGAATTCTTCGATATAAATTTTCAGGATTTTTTGAGATTTGTAGGGATAAGAAGAGATTTTTAGGAATTTTCAGGGCTGTTATAGGGGTGCACGAGATTTTTAGTATGATACACCCTCGCGTACGTTGTTCGTCTTCATCGTTTTTCAGCTCAATTTTTCTGTCAAAGATCGAGCTATTGACTCTAGCGTAATATTTTAGCACAGCAATATAGCATTAATCTAAATCCAGTGAGCTACTGGCGGAAATTCAGTGACGTCTAGTGCCAGTCCCTTCCTGTTATTTTTGTCTGCACGGTTGACACTAAACTGCATTAAGGAGTGTGCCGAACTTTCGTGTTTTGACTTCGACTTAAGGAATAATATTATGGTTTTATGAACTGCAGAAAACTTGATTAGCGATATGATGCGTTAGAAAAACAAAATAGATTGGCACTACCTGCACTGGCACAGGCAGTTCAAGAAAATGGTGTCGGAAAACTGTTTACAACCTTTATAGATTTTGGACATGAATTTCCGCCTTTGTCTTCACTTTTCTCATAGGCCAAATGACTGAAGTTCTCTCGCTCCAGTATATGTAGAGCTCACTGGCTAAATCCTACTATTTCACGTACTACTCACAGGACCTGCGCTAATTGACTCAACATCTGAGGGTAGTTATTGTCCACTGCCAACGTGGGTAGTTCTACAAAATTGCTACCTGCAAATATAGTTAACGAAGTCAGTCTGACGTTAGGAGAACGATGGTTCTCGAGCGATAACTGGGGAAATAATCTGCCTGCCAGGTTTTCAACCATGCATGGATCATCTTCGTGGTTCGGTAGTTTGAGCTTCTCCGAGTGCACTCTTTTAGGCCTAAGGAATTGAGAATTATTTCAATGTTTTAGTATGTATTAGCCACTGCTCTGAACATTAGAACTGGATAGAGTGATGTTTGTGATGTTACTCTGAGTGTATATCCACACCGGGCAAGCTTGAAAAATATGCCTGACCACGGTCGGAATCGAACCTACGACTTTCGGAATAATTTTTTTGAATAGGCCATACCTCTGGGTGGTCTAAGTTCAGATTTGACTTCCACTGTCGCTACCAAACCTCGCAGTGGCTTAGAACGCATCTGATTGGTTAATCGCATATATCAAACGCATCTGATTGGTTAATGGTCCCTTAATGGTAGTGGAAGTCGAATCTGAACCTCTCTTATAGCAAACTTAGTTCTAAGCTAGCCCAGTTTCTGCCTTTTGCTTCTGCGATGCTACATAGCCTACAGGTGCGCTGGAGAGAGACTGGAAGTGGACGGCCTAGCACAATTCGCAAATGTGGCCTTCTTGGAACCATTTTTGGCCCTAGGTTCTACATATTTACATTGATGTTTTTGTATAACTTTGAGCCTTTTGGATAAACAATGAAGATATTTCAATATGGACGGAAATACATGTACTGGCAGTTCGGGTAAGGTTACTTTATAAATTTAGGACTAAGACCAAATTGACGAATTTTACTTAATGGACATTTGCATTATAGACTAAATTTTGATCTAAACAAGTCTACACAAAAATTTCATCACAGCTTGAAAGAGCATCACAAAATTAGTAATATTCCAAAGTTTCATTGCGAAATGTTGTAAAATGCGGATAATATAGCCTTGCGAAGTTTGCCGTTTTTCTGTCATTTTGCATTACGCGCGGGAAATTGACAGCCCAATACCCTTTGGGGCTGTCAATTTCCCGTCTGTCATAGAAAACTGTAAGCGGCTTAAATTTTGAATGATCTTGAAAACTGCCCCTGTCGTCTATCCCCCCCCCCCTCTCCTGGGTATGCCATTGCCTTCCACTATTACCCACCTCCCTCTCTTGATCAATTTCTTCTCCAACGGATTTTCAGTGACCGTCTCAAAAAGACTAAACAGTAGTTCAGTGTCGGGCGCCGAGGTCACGACTCGCTTCGGCGGCCTAGGCTTGTGTTCTCGTCTTTCCTCGGGCGGGGTCACGGGTCGCTCCGTCAACTCTTTGTCAGGGTTATGGTCCTCGGGGAAAAGGGGTGGTAGGCGGGAGTACGTGTTTTGTGCCATCGAGCTTGACTTGATTGAGTTTGGTTGCAGCCAGAATGACTGGGGCAGCGAGCGTTGCTTCATTGGCAGTGGCTCTAGATGGAACAAAATAAATTCTGAGTGAAAATGTAAATGTGTTTTATTAAAGGTTAAGGACTTTGCAACTACAGGAGTTAAAATATTCGGTGGTGCAGTTTAGATCGATCTCGAACCAGTCTAAAGGCCCATTTCCACTTAGGAAAAATTTCCGCAGAAAGAAAATTTTGTAAAATGTGATTGACCGGCACAAATTGTCGGTCGGAAAAAATTTTGAAGTTAAAAATGTTCAACTTTTAACAATGATATTTTCGGAGAATTTTCTGTTCGTGGAAATTGTTCTTGAGTGGAAATGGGCCTTGAGATCGTTTTTGGTTGTCCACATTTGTCCGTCCCGAGTCCCGACACGGCCCTGAATCGATTTCGGATCGATCTAAATCGCATATATGCCTTTGCATAATAATAGTGCCATTCAGTAAAGATCCAGTAATTAGATACCCTGAATGGTTTCCAGAGAGTTTCCTAGCTAGGGTTTCCTATAGTGATCAAAATGTTTCACGCAATATATAATAAACGAGAAAGCGTTTATTACTGGTGTACAAGATACCGAAAAGCGTACTGAAAAACGAGGCGTATAGTTTTCTTTCAGACAAACTTTGAGGTGTTTTATCTATTAACCGTGGTTTTATAAACTGGTAATACATAGCTTTCGAGTATTATTTTACTTCTTAAACGGAAAACTTCTTAATTAAATTCAAAGAGAAAGTTGATTTCATCAAGTTATGGCCATGGGCGTTTATTATCAGGACAATGATACGGTGCTGGCTTCCTTTCTGTTTTGCTCATGAACTATTGACGAGTTCGAGAATGTCTTTTCATTGCTTTCGAAATTTAAATACCACAATTACTTCGCCAAAGTACAACCCAGCCAGATCGAAAGTATCCTTGGCACTTTGCTCACATGAAGAAGACAGGCCCAATCATCAACTCTCTAATTTTTTTCGAGAAAATTCTTTATCATTATCAATCGCCAAAATGGTTGGACTCGCCAAGATGGCGGACTTGACGTCCAATAGCTTTTTTTAAAATACCACTTTAATTGCCCTGCAAATTCCAGTGTTTTGTAACCGGACTGAGATTGGTACGTAGGAAGTGTTATCTATTTATCTATCGCAGAGCGCATTGACATTGTGGCTTAATGCGCAACAGAACCAGCTGACAGGGGCTTAAAGACGCACCCAGCAACAACTATAGTCACTTTATGCTAAGACGGAAACAACCCACATACTTGGACAAAACATCCGGAGAGAAGGGCCAACATATTTCTACACAAAACTTGACACAATGACCAATGTATCTTTTGTTTAGACTTTCCATCATGATTCATTAATTTTTACATGTATAAAATTATGATCGAAATTTAGCCGAATAAATAAGACGTTACAAGACCAACTTGCAAGTACAGTTTCTGATACTAGGCCAATAGGCCATGTTAATGTGTAGAGTCAGAGAAGCATACACAGAAAAACGGCGAGTATTGCCAGCGTTTTATTCTATTTTTCATTTTCATCTAACTTTCTTTGTTTCCTCGTGAGTATGCTAAGGTGAAAACGTCGGCGGAATAAAATGTGACACGAAATATATAGCGTGAATGACTTGCATATTTTGACTATTTTAGGTACTTTTGAACGATTATTTATGCTGTCTATTGTATTTAAATAAAATTCCTACAAAGCAATTGTTTCCGAGTTTTACTTAAATTGTAGCTATAATTATTCTTGCAACTGGCTTTGAAAATAAAAACGGGCCGTTTAAACGTTTTCAGCGGACAGCGCCGAAGAACAGACAAGCAAGTTTCAACAACTTTTCTTTAACTTATGCTTGTGTCAATGTGTGTACGACAAAAAAACTGTTACAAATTTTCCAATCCTTGACAAAATGTCTTTGTTTGAAGTCCAATACACACTGACACACAAGCATGTTTTTCTTGTCAATTCGTATTTTATAATTTCGTGCACGTGAACAACTCAAATAGATTTTCGATTCCTTGTTCAATGCTCAGCTCAATACTCAACAGCCAGCTTGTCAAACAGAAAAAAACCTGTCAATTCCTTTCTTATACACACAAGCAAATTAATAAAACTTGTCAAGCGAAAATGGCTATCTTTATGGGGCTTAAATTCGTACAAAGCGAGTGTCCCGCCTTTGCCTTTGGGGCTCATTTTTCTATTAAATCTGCTTCAGTTTAAACGCATTTTTAAAGCCTGGGCCCTGGATCAAATCATCAAACAAGGATGCTTTGAAACACTTCAGCTCATCAAACCTCTATTTTGCTAATCTAGCGCCCGTATTCTAAAAGCTCACTCACACTCAATGAGTGGAGTTCAATCTGAGCTTCTCTTGAGTGTTAATGCTGTTTTTGAATAGCTGGGGCTAGTATCATACCTTACTCGGTGACTACTCACCCTCCAGCTATTCAAAAACAGCATTGACACTCAAGAGAAGCTCATGCAGATTGAACCTGTGGTCATTGAGTGTGCTTTTAGAATACGGGCGTAGAACTTGAATTGTGCATGCTCCGTAACAATGCGTGACTGCTATAAAGCCGGGTATCACATATATGATATGGTCGTAAACTATTATTAAATAGAGTCACGATCTTTCTCAACGACAACGTACGGCCAGTTTATAATACTAATAGTTTTAGTCTATACATGTAAACCACATATATTAAACTCATAGCCATTCTCTAGTTATAATAAATTCGCGTACTTTCAGTTCTAAAATCTTGTATTTCGGCTGATGAGAAATATCGTGACTCAATCTTTAGTATATATATATACGACCTCGATATGATATATGATATACGACCGTTACGACAATTTGGGACTCGTTAACGCTCACCCTCGTTTGACTGCTCTTTGAATTTGCAACTTTCGGAATGAAAAAATATACATAAAAAAGGCCTTGAATCTTGATACGTTTCAGCTGCGTACGATTCGTATATGTTCACCTGTCACGCGTACAATAGAGAGGAGATAAGCCAGAGATAAGTGCGGGTTTTTGTACATAAAAGTAGATGCGTACAACCCTGTAGTCTGTACATATACGAACAATTTTTCTTTAACAAGATTTCCTCGACCTTGACAAGTCTCCTTGTCAGTAAAGATAGCAAAATCCACGAACAAATAACTGTAAAACAAATAACTGTTAGTGTTGAAAACAACTCGTCTGCGATGGATTTTACAATAAATAGAGAAGCTTGCATGCTTGCATGTCAAATTCTGTCGAGTGTCGTATATGATACAGCAAAAGGTCTTGTAAAATAAAGCTCAGAGAACCTCAACGTTTCAGCTTGATATAGCTCGATGGGGCCAATAGGTGGAGAGTTCCAGTTGAGAAACCCGAAATTACTAGCTTTTCGAACGAACATGGAATCTCCTGGCTCAAGGTTTTAGTTGTTTGAATTTAATTACAATGCAAAAGCTCCAAAAATTGTTCTTATATCTCTGAAGATGTAATAGACGTCCTCCAAGACAAGCGCGTGTGAATTGTCACGAAAATATTTACTCGCTTTAAATCCCCATTGGCGACTTATAAGCCCGAAAGGCGAAAATGCCAGATCAAAACTTTGAATCTCACTAGAGGCATTTTCGTTCCCTGTACTGTAGTGTCGCAATTAATAATAAAAGATAAGCATCTTAAACGCAGGTTTTGCACAGAATATTTCCGTCAAAACATAGCAAAGGCGACACGGGCCAATATTCAAAGCTATTTTCACAAGTGGACTACAAAGCAAGATTAATCACCCATTACTATAACATTTAAATATTTTATAACAGGTCATGAATCAGCGTTTGCGGTTTTATTTTTGCTCGAAAGAACACATCAGTGAGCAGAATTATCACATTGCCTTATAAGTTTACCTTAACCCACTCAGAGGTTAGTTAGATTTTGGCTTCAAAATATGATACACTACATACTTTATAATATTCGATTGTTTTAAGTGCTTTAATTCAAAGAGCCTTTCGCGTTTCAGAGGCCAATATTTTATAACATTTTAACATTGCGTCATTATAATAAGCATTGGAGCGGGGACGCGCCTTGTTTGATTCCCCAAACAAACCCGGCACACTACGCCAAAATGTCGATAAAATTGAGCAGATTTTAAACCATTTTTGGTGTAGAATAGCCCAATACTTTGTGCGCATATTAAATATGAATTTGAAGCTTGAATTAAGCGGCCACAAGCTAGTAAACACGATGTACTTGCTAGCTATTAACTACCTGATAGTATGTTACAAACGTACAATATATCCACATACAATGTCGTATATTCCTATAAACACTATTCTGTCTACATATTAGCTAGCCGAACATGTTGCCAATACAGTGTTGTGTCATGATATTATATTCTCCTTATGATGGCTCAGAAATCGTGAGAATATAAACTGATACACTGCAGGCTAGATACACTGTAATGTATAAACTACTACACATGTATGCAAAATAATAAACTAGCTTAATACAAAATTATAGTACACCAAAAGGCCGAATCTACCTTTTTTAATTGTCCGTTGTTTAGTGTCGTTACCAGATCCAAACGGCTTATCCTCATTGCGTTTTCTCGAGCAAATTCGAGACCCTCTTGCTGAAAGTAGAGTCCTTCGTTTGCGACTAAGCCTCGACAAATCTTTCACGCCGCACAAACTCTTATTCTGCACAGAATGTTCGGACGTATTTGACTTCAATTCTTCGGGCGATTTTGGCGACACCGGCGGCTTAGGTTGCCTCCATTGGTTAAAATCCTTATCTTGTCCATCCTCTACGACTTTCAGCTTACCTTCGTTGGTTATTTTTGACATATTTTATCATGCAAACTTACATAATCTTGAGGCCTGCGATAGAATTGGAAGTTCGCCAAATGGTCAAAGAGTTATCCAACAATTTTCACCAAATAGCGGCCAGAAAACACTTGTTTAAATCCAGAATAAAATGTGCTAGTTCCGCATTATCCTTTGGTTATCTACGCAAACGTTTGGTGTAAAAATGACCGTTGTTTTGAAGTTATAACGTATTCTTTGCCGCCGAATTTGAGTTTAGCTTTATACAGTGTTTACATGGTTTCCACTGCGACAGTGTAGCAAGTGCCGCCTGTGTTCTAATTGGTTCGCGAACGCGTCATGAATAATTCTGATTGGCCGTCAAAGCTTTGTATATTTCATCGGCATATATTATTCCTGAAATTGACATCATTTGATTTGTAGATTAATTCATTTTCCGAGGAGTCATTTGGTCAAATAATATAATCCAATGTTTGTAAAGGTGTAATATACGATGACGGAGCGATGGATCACGCGTATAAATAGCAACGATTAAAATTATTCAAATTTTACGTAAGTTTTAATTGAATTGTGTTCTGACGGCAATGAATTGCATTAATAATGCAGGATGGGAAATGAACAATTCTGAATAAATGCATGTTGAGAAATCAAGACAAAAATTGTTATTTCTAGTCTACATTTTGGATTAAGATTTAAGACGCATTTATTCGGAAGATTTCATTAAGCCGCATTTATTCGGAAATTATTTCATTTCATACACAGGATGATTGTGTATAAATTGGACACGTCACTGTTTTCAGTGTTTTGTACGGTTGTACTTTGGTTACATACCCACTCGAAATTAAAATGCTCAAAATTAAAACATTCATTTTCAGTAAAAGCTAGTGCAAAGTACTTGAGATTAGTATTTGGTTCAGTATCTATAAATTAATCTTATAACGCCGGGGCGGTGTTAAACGCTTTATATGTGAATCTATCTGGTAATGAAAACGAATTGCCAAGTCTGTGAAAATCATATGGTTCCCAAACAGTTACAGTAAACCAGACAATCTGGAGCGATTTCAGGAAACTGAAAATGGAAAAAAATGTTCTCCGTAAACTCTAAAGTGATATCTTGTATAGTAGAGATCAGGTGATAACACTTGTAAACTGATAGCAAAATAATTCAAAATTGAAATGTGATATCTCGCAACAACTTTGAAAGTTTGAGTCAAAACTCAAAACTGTACACCTTGAAAGTCTTGTCTTGTTTCTCTTGTAAAGTTATCAGAATTTTACTATTTGGAGTATATTTTCGATTCCCGATGGAGGGCCTATATATTCGCAATTGCTTATAGTATAGTTTTCGCTTAAAATCTTCATCTACAAAAAGTCAAAAACCTTCAACACTCTATATAGTCTATATACTTTTCCTCTGATACAAAACATTGGTAGTTTTTATTTGAATAGCAAATAACAGTCCAGTTGTACCAACCTTCTTAGGATCAGCGACGTTCGCCTTCCGAATAAAGACCGATCTATTCCCGACTTTAGTTTCGGAAATTATCGACAATGGCTGGCTGAGAAGAAACATAAAGTGAATATTTTTAGAGACTCTGATGTTTTGAATAAAAATGTGAATTAAAACGTCGATATTTCACCGTGTTATGTGTGCAGCCATGTATTTGGAACACTATCTAGACAGTAAGTCAAAACAATATTTTTATTTAACGCTTTAAATGTCGAAAAAATTAGAATTTTCTTAGTGTATATGTTTTTTTAATGAAATATATTTTCATGCGTTCCCGCCATTTTATAGTTGTTTGGGTATATTGTTTACTTGTGGGTACTAGTCTCGGGGTTTTTTATTATAAAAATAATTGTCCAAATTATGGTATTGAATTAAAAAAAATGAATCTTATATTATTTTCCCAATAATTTTCCTAAAATTTATACCCATTCTAAATATTTTACTAAAATTAACATTCTAAATATGTTAGATGTGTCCTTTATATGCATGTGTCATCAGCTTTCCCGGGGGTGGGGACCCTGGCCTAATCATTGTAAATGAGGGGACTTTACAGGGGTATTGATTGGGGCGTTTCAGAGAAGATCCATACTCCCCCCACGGAGGAAATTTCTGCCGTCCAGAGGGGGAGGGGAGAAAAAATTGTTTCTGATAATAGTAAATGTATTAGGACATTTGAAGGAGGTAGGGGGGTTAACTTCCTATTTCCTCCGTGGGGGTGGTATGGATGTTTTCTGGAATGACCCATTCTAAAATTGCTCTGTGATCCAAGGGAATATCACAACATTGGCGAAGATCAAGCCCTTGTCCGGGAGAAAATACCCGGGGAAATAAAAAATATGGTCAGTGGTTAATATGGAATTCGTCATGTAATCTAATAATAAATATCAATGTCTAGCATAATGTCCGTATAATTATAGCCATAACAAAGAGAGATATGAAAGCTCCCTAGATAAGCTTCGATGCTTTTGGAACAATTGCATAAAGTTTTTCATAAATTTAATTATTTTCAGAACTAATGTTTTGTCTTGCACTTGAGACATCTTAAGAGTAAAGAATGATATAAAATTACAAAGTTATATATGCATGAATAAATTACAACTAATAGACCTTATTCATAAATCGTGATTGAGGCCTCGTATCCTAGGAAACAGGAATAAACGCGGGAAAATTGACAAAAACTTTTTTTGCTCGTAGCTTTTGTAGCTTCCCTTGATGACTTTAAAATTCTTTCATCTTCCTCTGACGAGCTTATGATCCACGAAAGGCTTCTCATTTCCAAACTTAAACCTTCCCTGAACGTACAAGGCAGTTCAGTCCTTCTTCTTTTGCTCTAACCCCTTTCTATATCCTATGTACTTCCACTTCCTTTCTTCCTTAGATTATACTGTACTTGTAATTCTATACTCTGTAATTCAGGCCTCATTAACATTTTTTTGTGCCTGCGAGCGAAATTCAAAATGTGCCTGCAAAAACACATCTTATTTAGATTTTGTGACTTAAATATTGTGAAAATGTCAGTATTTTAAAATGTGCCAGCAAAAATTCAAAGGTGCCTTGTCAGTATTTTAAAATGTGCCTGCAAAAATTCAAAGGTGCCTGCGAGTGGCGCTCACGCTTTTATTGATGCCTGCTGTAATTAGTTGTTAAGTAATTTATTCATACATATCTAACTTTATAATTTTATATCATTCTTTACTCTGAAGATGTCTCAAGTGCATGATGAAACGTTAGTTCTGTAAATAATTAAATTTATGAAAATTTTTCTTTGTTATGACTATTATTATACGGACATTATGCTGGGCATTGATAATTATTATTAGATTACGATATCATTGTTCCAATTTCAAAAATACACATGTCTTTGGCCGCAATTTTATATAAGAATTTTAATCTAGTATGTGCATCGTGTCCTAATTTTTTAAGCCATTGATCCGCAATGCGCCCCAGTGCGCCCTACTGATTCTTTTTTACTTGTCTAATGCCAGATGATTTTACTCCTCAATGGGGAAGCTCTGCAGTTTAATGGGTTAACCAAAAAATCTGACAATGTTTCTAGTTAACCCATTGAGCCGCAATTTACTCGTACTTATTTTTTTCTTGTCATAACGCCAGACTATTTTACTTGTCAATGGGGAAGCTTTATAATGGGTTAAATATGCTTTTCAAGCATATAGTTTGAGGCTACAGCAAGAAAAAGGCTGTTGTGGCAGAGAGCTTGACATATCTACTGAAAAAAGGAACGTTATTTAAACAAATATTTTATGTTAATTTGTGAGATGATTTGCATATGCACATTTTGTATTTGTATATTTATAATCTTATAAATATACATTGCATTTCTAAGTAGAATAACATCGTGTACTTTGTTTACGCGTTCAGGTTGCACCTGAAACTGTTTTTTTTTACAAGTTTACAGTATGTGTAAAATTACTCCATTCAGAGTAGAATTGAAATTACCTAATAATAAACATTGTTGGCACAGAGAGTTTTTATTTGTTACAAAACACTAATAAATGAGTATTTATTAGTGTTTCGTAACAAATAAAAACTCTCTGTGAAACTATTAAAATTAAAAACTTCCCCTAGGGGAGGGGAAAAGTTGAATATTCACCTGCATTTTAACCCCACAGACAAGGGGAATTAACAATGTTTTCAACACAAATTGCCGTCAAAGTCCCCAACCCAGGCTCCCCACCCCCGGGATGGCTGATGACACATGTGCATTAGGTCTAGAGGTTTGGATGTGCGCAATATACAGTCTCGGATGTAACACATGTTCTCTAATAGTTGTGCGTCCTAAAATGAACATGAACGTTTTTGATAACAAACTCATTAGCATTTTAGCAATCAAACTTTTAAGTCCAGTTCATCAGTTCATAACAATAATATACAGGGCATTTGTAGTCTTCTTAGCTTAAGGGGGCATTTAGAATTCCTCTTTAATTAATTAGTTGCTGGAAAAAGTGCACTTTTATTCCACAAAAAGAGCACATTTTCTCTTTGCAGAAAAAGTTGTCCTCTGGAGCCTGGAAAATTACATGGGCTTTTATACGTCTAGTGAATATACTTTAAAAGCAATTATGTGACAAAAAATAAAACAATCAGATGGATTTAGTCAAAACAATGTGTCAAACAGGCTGCTTCATGTCTTTTGTGACTGTCATTGCTGCACGAAATGGGATTCAAATTATTCCTATTTGAAACACAGTGATTACCACAATTAAAATGTCTGCCAACAGTCTGGTTGCCAATCACTGCCAAGTCAAAAAAAAATGGCAGGTGAAATTCTATAGATATTATTTCATTTCATTTGCTTACCACAACTCATAATCTCATATATACTAGATGTCTAGATCATTTAGTTGACTAAATACGTGTTTACTGTAGTAAAATAGAAAAGTTTAAAAATAATAAATATGCATATCATGAAAACATTAATTTTTACAATATGACTCGATCTTATGAGACATTGCAGCCATTTTGGCAGTACAATGAATAAAAATGGCAGGCTAAAATTTATTTCACCTGCCATAAACCCTTAGACTGACAGGCCATATTTTTTCTGTAAATTGAGTCCTGGTCGCTGTGGTACTGTAGAGAATCAAGTTGAGAAAATCTAAAGCCAGTTTTTTTGTGAATATAGGTATTGAAAATTTGCCGTATGAACTGCAAAGAAACTTCACCCTCATGCGGGAGCTTGATCAGAGGACACAAGGTGAGAACCACAATGACAATATATTTTATCAGAGGTGGATGTACTGGGCGCACCCCTCCTACTCGTGTCCAGGACACTCTCGAAGAATACTCAGGTATTCCATACTCCATAGGTTTTCTTTTTCATATCTAAAAGATCAGGCTTTTAGCTTTCAAATGACACCTTTATCTAATGATTGTGGTAATGATCGGATGAATTTGCACTTTCCCACCTTTGGGATTTATATATTCTTCCAATTTTCGAACATTTGCCCAAAAGATGTTTGCCCATAGTATGATAGTAGCTACAGTGCGCTTTATTTTGTGCCTGTTTGTGTGGACTGTCGAGCGTGTTTGTAACTTCATGAGACAAAAAAGTTTTTTGCCCACTGTACTGTACTCTATTTTATTATTTTATTCTGTCTACTGCGAGAGACGATTTTACTCTGTCTAATGCCAGACGATTTTACTTGTCAAGGGGAGAGTGCTGCTACTCAGTCACAGTGGATCAGGATTTAAGTTTAATTGTAACCAGCTCAATAATCATAGGAGTACCAGTCATGATCTTTGAAGAACTACAGTAAATAATTTTGGCTGTACACCAAGAAAAGGCTTAGAAATTGACCTACAATCTTGTGCAAAATAAACGAGACACTCCATGCTCCCGCACCCTTCTCAATGTTGGTTAGCGATTGTTAGAACCGTTTCAGGCCTTGCTTTTCAATTTCGACTTCAAATCGCAACATTGGATGGGGGAAAGGGAGATAAGCCTTACAAAATCATGATGGCACGTTTTATTTTGCAAGAGATTGTAGTCGAATTGACATGAGCAAATAGACAGGTCAACATTGATTCAGGTCCTACTAAACACCGACCGCGGGACCGACCGTGCCAATAATTTGCAACAATAATTTCACTCTCTTCCGACCGGGACCGTCCGTGCCAATAATTTACATGATTTCGCAAAACTTTTGACAAAAATTTTCCGGGCTATTTTTGTCAAAAGTTCGGTAAAATTATCTGAATCTTCTATGAACAAGAGAACGCTGATAAACCGAGTTTAGAATGCAATATTAACATCTAACGCACTCGAGCTTAAGCAAGCAATTCTTTGGAGGGTGTAGCTCTGTTGGAGAGGTTCCGGCTGCTTAGTTTACTCGGCAAGCCGGCTTACGATGAACTCCATTCTGCGCAGCTGTCTTCTCGGTAGAAGAGACTTTCAGCCATCCCAGCATGCCGACTTGACTGATATCAATGATGCCGAGAATTAGCCTCTCCAAGGACAGAGCTAACGTCACACCACAGGTGGAAACGGAATTAATAAATAAAATAGTAACATGAACGTACGAGATATCTTACCTGGTAAGCATACAAAGCCGAGCACAACGAACTATAGGCACCTACCGACCAAAGGGAAACCAAAAAAAAAACGCTGGATAACGCAGGATACCAATCTAAAAGAAATCACCCGGACTAGCCGGAGAGCAAGCCCGACGAGCGGGTGCGGCATAATGCAAAAACGAACACAACACGGACATTGCTAGCAAGGATGACAAAAAGGACTACCCCCACCATTTACACTGTGCCAAGGACACACACAACAGAGAATAAGCACTTCACGGACAGACAAAAGGACGAATGGTGAGGGGACAAACGCACGTACAAGCAGACGAACAAATCACGAAATTAAATATGCTGATGCACAGATACACACATCGGCAAGCAGCCGAACACCCGGCAAGCAGCCGCACGGGGAGGGGACAATAGCCTGAGATCGAGCAAACAGCCAGAGGGGGGGGGGAGGCAGGCAGGCAGCCCATGGGACCGGCAAAGAGCAGCCGGAGGTAAACCGGCAAGCAGCCAGCAAGCACAGGCAAGCAGCCTGAAAACAAAAACCCGGCAAGCAGCCGGCGCCACCGCAGGCAAGGGGGAAACACTATCGGGTGGGTGGGTGGGTGGGAAATCGAGTTCACAGTGTGAGAAGCAGTATGCAAGTGAGCACAGCCCGTGAGTACAGCAAATGGCAAACTCCCGCCCGCTGACAACAGACTGCTTCTGATTGGTCAATGAAATTGAACCCTGCATAAATGCATAATTTACATATTATAACGACCCACAACACAACTCGTGCTAGAAGTTAACTATTTTTATTGCATAAACACATTTAACATCTAACGCACTCGAGCTTAAGCAAGCAATTCTTTGGAGGGTGTAGCTCTGTTGGAGAGGTTCCGGCTGCTTAGTTTACTCGGCAAGCCGGCTTACGATGAACTCCATTCTGCGCAGCTGTCTTCTCGGTAGAAGAGACTTTCAGCCATCCCAGCATCCCGACTTGACTAATATCAATGATGCCGAGAATTAGCCTCTCCAACGCCACCCTCCAGCGCAGCTGGAGAAGGGGATTCGAGGCACGAACCCACTCCAAAGGCGTTCCCCAACCCCAAACAAGTCTCAAACAAAGTCACGAGCAGTTTGGAGAATGATGTGGGGAGGCGTCCGAATATAGCGCAAGTAGCAATCACTGGACCAACGACCCAAAATCTTGATAACATGGTCCGGAACACCCGCCAGAGCGGCCGAAGTAGCCGCACCAATACGAAAACTGTGGCTAGAATAATTCCCAGGAACACCTGCAGCCTTGAGAATGAAGCGGAGCCAAGCATGAACCAGAGACGGCAACAGAGGCGCACCAGTGACGCACAAAAACAATGAACCAGGGAACGAACCGCGGATGGCCAAATACCGAGACAGCGCAGCAACAGGACAAATCTGGTGACCCGAAGGCCCAATTAAGATCGTGCATCCCTGGTGAAAAGGATCCGTTTTGGACGACTTTAAAAACAAGCGATAGTGTCCCGCAGTATCCCACTGAATGTCGCTTGAAGACAAATGGCATGACGGGACGTATACACCGGGACAGGTAAACTCGCTAACACGTAGAAAACCGAAAAAAGCGGTGCAACATGCAGCCCAAAACATCACATGGTCAAACGCCGTCTGAGCGGGCCAGGTCGCAAATAACATCAACAGCCATTCCGACGACGGAAAAGACGGAAGGTCAAAAGTCGAACAAACTGGAAATAGGCGCGTCGACCAGCAGCGTAAACACGGCGAGTGGATGGAGCCAAACCTTGGGCCAACAAACCAAAACACTGGTTGATCAAGCAGGCGGTACCAGGCGCGACAACAGGACGGTGGGATTGGAAGGGGAAGAAGATCGGAATGAGGGGCCACACGACGAAACTCCTGTAAGCGCAAACGAGACAAGGCATCAGCGGCAGAATTATCTCTGCCAGGGGTGTGGGCAGCCAAGAAAACAAAATTATGGCGGCAGGCTTCAAGCGTGAGCAAGCGCAACAGATGCATGATATCGTGCGACTTGGACGTGCCAGAATTGAGGACATTAACAATCGCCAGATTGTCGCACAAAAACTGAACGCGAAGGCGAGACCACGCATGGCCCCAATGATGCGCCGCGACGACGATGGGAACCAACTCCAGAAAGGCAATGGACATGCGCGTAGAAAGAAAAAAAAACCAGGAGCTGCAAAACCACTGCGTGCGCCATAGGGCTCCAAAACCGCAGGAACCTGACGCATCGGATGAAACAACTAGATCAGGTAACTGGGACACCGCGGGCGAAAGAAAAAAGGACACTCCGTTCCACTCCTGGAAAAAAGACAGCCACCATTGTAGGTCTCTACGAAACTCAACATTCAAGCGAATGGGATGGTCGCGATGACGAAAACAGCATAATAGATCGATCATGCGGCGAAGAAAGGTACGACCAGGCACCACAACTCGGCAGGCATGATGAAGGGAGCCAATCAAGGACTCCAAGTCACGACGCGTACACGTTTTCTTACGAGACCACGACTGGAGAAGCCGCAGGATGCGATCGACCTTGTCACGGGGCAAACGAGCTAACAGCTGTATGGAATCCAACTCGATACCGAGAAACACCAGAACAGTGGACGGGCCCTCGCACTTTTGCAAATGAAAAGGGAGACCCAAGCGGGCAAACACGGTAAAAGCGTTATCCATGTGGGATTGACAAATGGACGAATTGGCAGGACCCATGGTTAAGAAATCGTCCAAATAATGGAACAGCGGGCTGACAGCATAATTATGCACCAAGATCCATTCCACGGCCTCAGCAACCGAATTGAAGATAAACGGGGCCGACCGCAAACCAAATGGCAACACGAGATCAACGTAGAAACGATCACGTCATTTCATACCTAAGAGGTAACGATCATCAGGGTGTATCGGGATATTACGGTAAGCTGCTTTGACGTCGAACTTTGCCATCAGTGCCCCGGGGCCCAGATCGACCAAAGCACGAATGGCGTCATCAACCTTCACATAATGCAACGAGTAAGGATCCTTGGGGATACCGTCATTGACACTGTGACCAGCCGGCGAGGACAGATCTAGGATAAGGCGCCACTTGCCAGGCTGGTGATTCTTGGGGATGACACCAAAGGGGCTGACATGAAGGAGCGGAACCGGAGGGCTGGTAAACGGGCCGGCCACGCGTCTGGCCGCTAACTCTGAGGACAGGTAAGCATCCACGACGTCTGGATGGTCAGAGGCAGAGCGCATATTAGACGTCCGAGAACGCAAGGATACCCGATCAGGCTCCCAACCTACACGAAAGCCCAACCGAATCCCGTCTAAGACATAGCGCCTTTTGGACAGGGGATAGGTAGCTAATTCCCGAGTAAACTCCTCGAGGACTAGCGGGGTTACGGCAGCAACCGGAGTAATGAGGCCAAGTGTTGGACGAGCTAAAACAAAGAAACAATAAAACGCTAGGGGGACCAATACCGCACAGAAGAAAAAAAAAGAATAAATAATAACACCGACACACATTTGAGCTAAGTAATGACATTTTGACAATCTTTACACGCATGCAACGATATACTGTACCAAGCAGGTACACTATAAGCTAACAAGGACAGGACACAAGCAGTGCCTCGTGCAACAAGCAGTGCCTATCAGGTAAACGATGCTGCACAAGATAAACTGTACCAAGCAGGTACGGACACGATAAGCTAACAAGGGCAGGGCACAAGCAGTGCCCTCTGCAACCACAGTGCCTGTAGAAGTTAAACAATGCAAGCAAAACAATAAAAAAAAATTTAAAAAATCGTACCAAGCAGGTACGTACATGATAAAGCTAACAATGGCAGGACCAATACTGTACCAAGCAGGTACACTATAAGCTAACAAGGGGAGGACACAAGCAGTGCCTCGTGCAACAAGCCGTGCCTATCAGGTAAACGATGCTAGCACAAGATAAACTGTACCAAGCAGGTACGTACATGATAAAGCTAACAATGGCAGGGCACAAGCAGTGCCCTGCGCAACAAACAGTGCCTTTACCAGGTAAACAATGCTAGCAAAAACAACTATATAATATCGTACCAAGCAGGTACATACACGATAACGCTCAGGCTAACAAAGGCAGGGTGTGAAAATTGTACAATTTGACATGCATCCCGGACCAGTCAACTACATGGCGTGCTACGGCGTCACGGCGAAAAGCTTCGTCGTAAATGTACCAAGCTAAGCCGCCGAACGGAGTATACATACGTAAAATGAGAAGCTGGTAACGAATCAATTCAGCAGCGCGGCTGGGCAAATATGTAACCATAATAAGCATGTGTATGGCAAACGCCTGCAGCCACTGAGAAATATCGGTCAGGCGCCGGGCCGGCTTGGAAGCTTGAGAGACCACTACCTGCCCATCAATGTAAATTAAGGGCGAAAGAGACCGCATGACAGACGGGTTTGCTAACAGTGTGGCCAAGTCATTATATTGACCAGAAATAATGTTCGTCACCGTCTTACCAGGGACCGGGAGAAACCCAGGGCCAACAACGAAAGCAGCAGGTTGCGTATGAGCCAAAGGCAAAAAACATACCTGGTGCAGCCAAACCTGCAGCTGGCGGATTATTTGGCAGCTGTTGAAGCGACAACGATGCACTAGACGGCAAAACCGGGCCAGCAAGAAGCCTTGAAGGAAATGCCAACTCTTGACCACAGGCGTGCACTTGAGCGATAGCATTCGAATGTGCTTGAGCGAGCATGAGCTTGCAGCAAAGCTTGTGCCTGGAGGGTAGCCTGTGCCTGGACTGGAGATTGGGAAATCGTCTCCTGGAGGATGGTATCCGGGGAAATGGACGCCTGCTGGAGGATGGGAACCAGGGAAGTGGACGCTTGCTGGAGGATGGAATGTTGGGAAGTAGACGCCTGCTGGAGGATGGGATTTAAGGACGGAGCAGGACGGGCGCCACCGGAGGAGACTGGGAGGGAACAAAATGGCGGCTGAAAATTGGCCGATGTCGAAGAACAAGGAAACGTAAAATTCAACAAAACGCCCGGATTTATTGACGGACTTGCGATGGTGGGAACGACACTAGACGTAGGCCAAGGATTCTGTGGCAGGTACGGGACGGGAAGCCATGTACGAGACGCTAAACTTGGTGAAGCAAACGGCACGGAAGCAGACCACGAAGTCGTCCCAAGACTTGTCACCACCGGCGAGAGCAAAGCACTGGAGGCCGACGACACTGAAGGCAGCATAACAGGGAGAAGCGACGAAGTTGGCGAAGTTAAACCCGACAATGACGAAACCAAACCCGCGGATGCAATTGATGTAGAAGCCGACGAAATAACATCGCTATGGACTGGCGAAAGCGATAAATCCGTTCCAGAACAACTGGACAGACTATTATTAGTGAGCCGAGGCATCCAAGATAGAAGCCAAAACCCAAAACGAAGCACAAGAATCCCCAGAAAAACAAAAATAGAAAACCAAAATCGAGTTCACAGTGTGAGAAGCAGTATGCAAGTGAGCACAGCCCGTGAGTATAGCAAATGGCTAACTCCCGCCCGCTGACAACAGACTGCTTCCGATTGGTCAATGAAATTGAACCCTGCATAAATGCATAATTTACATATTATAACGACCCACAACACAACTCGTGCTAGAAGTTAACTATTTTTATTGCATAAACACATTTAATGATGTATTAAAACAACTGGAGGTATTACATAATTGGTAAACCTCTTCAATCGTAATCATTTGCATGATTTCAATGAATGCTTTATCTTCATCAAATGTCCATTTATGAAGTTTTACTGGGGATTTCTTTGGAGGAGTCGGTTTAATCTTTCTGATAGGAAACTACAAAACAAACAGCAAAAGTGAGAGGGGCAATCTCAGTGCCAGCACAATTAGACAACAACAAAGAAACTCATGGATTTTTACCAGGATTGTGGGCATGCTTCTCCAGGAAATTTGTGTACTATAGGTTTTCTGGAATGCCACTCCCAGCATTGAAAAATAATATTGGCGTACAGGTGGATAGAAATTGCCCAACATTGTCATGACTTTATTTAAAGATGAACAAGAGGTATAAAATAGAAGGAATACATCTCCTGTCTATATACTGTTTAAAGTCAATCTTAAAACAATTGCCCAATAATTTTTTAAAGCAGAATTCTGCCCAACTAAACACTGACTGGAGGGGTTGCAACCCCCAGCCTCGTATGCCTATGGACAGAATTTCTCCCAGGCAAAAAAGCATTAAAATACAATGTTACTATATTGTCCCATTAAAAATATACAATGTTTTAGTGTGGTCAAACTGGTATACTGTATTTTATGTTTGTAAAAACCTTGCTGTTGAATTTTTCAAACGAGAACTTCTGCGTCTTTTATTATTTAATAGGTTTCCCTGGGGTATCACCTTCAGAAGTATATACCCGTTTAAGGGACCGGTCATAAAGTAGAGGGGGGTGGGCTATGAAAATTGATTTCTTAAAGACTGGTTTACAGTGACCCACCCCCAAATTGTGACAATAAATTGAGGTGGCCCACCCCTAGATTAGAGCAGAAATCTTAGTGACCCCCCCCCCATCATGTAGATAATGTACTGTACGGTAATGTAGATAGGTGCGCGTACGTTGGCAGCATTGGCTTACCACGATTCTTTACTAGTTTAGTCAGAATCCCCGAAAAATCTCCGAGATTGAAATGTTGTAACACGCCGCCCGACTCTTGAACATAATTCAACTATGTCCAAACATAATGCATGACAGTACATTGAGTAGACTACGGTAGCTAGAACACTTCCTAATGTACTGTATACAAATGTGAATTCCTGTTGTTTAATATATAAAGTTAATAGGTTAAAGAGATTTCGCAAAAGTTTTTATTTGCTTTTTATTAAATTGTGAGACGTGAATAATTTTACCTGACCCACCCCTAATGCAGTGCATAAATTTTCCTGACCCACCCTTTTCGACGTGTTGAAAAATAGTGACCCACCCCCAATTTTTCATAGCCCCCCCCCCTCTACTTTATGACCGGTCCCTAAAATATATAGCAGTATCATTTCCAGTTTTACTCCAAAATAGCCGAATTATATAATAAAATGAAAAAATACAGTCAGGGCAGGTAAACATAAGCATATCTAACCTTAAAAATTGCATTAAACTTAAAATATGTACGAACAAAAATGTGTATGTTTCAAAATTATCATGAAAAATAGTGATTAGTATCATTAGTACAATAATTTCCTTCGCGCCATGATGATTATCAGGCGGTCTATTCCCGCCATCGGCGATAGAATATAGCGAAAGTACCCCATTTTCAAACCGCGATTACTTGTCGGTTTAGTGGAGCAAACTCATGTTTTAAAGTAACAGTAGAAAGAAAAAATCTTCCCGAATTCGATGACGTGTTTTGTTTTTATTTTCCTCAAAAAAAAGTGAGTTTGCTTCTGCATTATATCAAGGTCATTTTATTGGCGTGTCCACTGACCCGAATCAAGCATAATTACAATACGTAATTTACATAACTAAAAAGCAATTCCTGTACCAAACAAGTCAAAAATATTAATTAGGGTCTTAAATAATACAAATATAAAAACATACCTTCGAAAAAACGAGATAAACGGAGCCAAAATCGCAATGTATTTCAACAACTTTTCGCCAAACGTTCGTTGAAAATCGTAATTGTGAATAATAATTAGACGCAATGCATTGTGGGAAGACCCTCATTCCTCCTCTGATTTCTTGCAGTTTCATTCGCCATGTTTTTCCTTGAATATAAAATATAAATAGAAATACCACATGATGACCACGTGATCATGTTCCCGCATTTTGCGCGAGGGCAGTTGGAGATTTTATTTTCGTTATTTTGATAGGCGGGGCAAAGGCGAAAATAGAAAATGGGAATTAAATTTCACGAAAGCTTTCTGAACAACGTTTTATTCTCTACAACTCAATATAAGGATTCTAAACAAGTCAATATAAGGTAAACAGTTAATTTCGGACATTTCGCGAGGTTTTTTATTCGCGCGACTTTAATTTTGCAACTTTTTGCAGTCACGCGAAATTATCACAGTAAGTACGATTGTAAATAATAAAATAATTAATTAATAATTAATTTTGATAATAAAACTAACTATATTATGTATTATCATAGTTTAATATGGTATTATACACTATGAGATTTCTGGCTGGCTGTTGACAAGTTGCAATTTATGGTCAATCAGCATGCTGTCATTGACCGATGCTAACCAGCCTGTTGCCAGACATTTTATTAATAATAGTGGCAATCACAATGTTTCAGACATTCACAATGTTTCAGACATGAAAATTTGAGCCCTTTGTCCCATTCCTGGCAGCGGCCGCAAAAGACATGAAATTCGCCTCATATTCCAAACTTGACACAGCTGAGCTGTCCAGGAGCTGTCACGTCCAATCAGTGCGTCCAATCCCCTGCCCGCACGTGTGCGCACGTTATGAAATAACCAAATAAATAAAGCAACAGAATTTACTGTTCCGTAAGTTTTAGTATGCATTTTACTCATTTGTAAAATATTTAAAAAATAGAAGGATTCAAAGTTTTAGATGCGTGTCACTGAGCTGTGGTGCGTGTACGTGCGTACGAAAAACGTCAGCCTTTAGCCACAGAATAAGGTACACAGAAGGCCGACTTCTTTGTTTTTCCTATGATTTTGCTCTGATTTTGGCGTAGCCCGTAATTCGTCATCAAATGCTGACGCCATGGTCACAGAGTATATCCTTACTCTGTGCCATGGTCCTAGCCAGTGCGCGTTTGAGAGGCATTCACCCCCTGATATTATTCAAAATGGCGGATGTCCAGGGGGGAATGCCTCTCAAACCCGCACTGGCTAGGACCATGGCGTCAGCATTTTGATGATGAATCATGGCGTGGCAGCGTTACTCGAGTCGACCTTCTGTGTACCTTATTCTGTGCTTTAATAGCTTCCGAGACAGCCGCCTACGAACAGGCATTCACGCCTTTTCACCAGGGCCCGCTGAGCGTATTAGAGAGTGGGGGGGGGGG